AGAATTCAATTTTTTTCACTGAATGTTGAGGCTTCATTGTTTGAATATTTTTGCTGCCTCACTCGTGCAAAAATTTGTTACACACTTTCGATTCAATTACTCTTATATATTTTCAAAGTCGTTTCACATTTCGTTTCGATTACGATGGATTCGTTACTTTTGAATATTTCGTTTATCGCGCGAAGGTCATTACTCTTTTCGAGAAGACGAGAAATAATTTTTTCTCTATTTTTGGTATCGATCGTTCACAAGTCCACGTATCAATATATCGTTATAAATTTCAGAACGCCATTTTTAACAATGAAGGAAAGACTTTTTACCCATTTTTTTTAAACAGGCGTCTTGAACGTTTTTAATATAATCACGTTTCACTCACAGTGCGACTGAAATTTCAAAATATTTCACATATTCAGCATGTTCATAAAAAAATTTCTCTAGTCCAAACATTTTCATAACCAGCTATATACATGTTAATTAATATTAACTTTCGTAACATTAGAAGTGACTAATTTATAATTTTTGTTAAGAATTTTACAGAATGCAGAAAATGTATTTTTCGTAAAATGTAATAACTGTAAAAGCTTTTGCACTCTGTTTCTTTTACTTTCAATGTGATGGAAATTTCCTGCTTTAATCGTCCGTAGTTCTAGTGTTATGATCAAAAAAGAAAAAGAATAATTGGTCATTTGCTTAATTCTTTTTTTTTTTTAGTATTAGACACAACGAACGCAACGAATATTAACACGCAAGCGAACACGCATAATGTCAAAGCGATAATTTATTACAATGGCAACAATGTCCCTATTCGAATCGTTTCATTTCCATTTCCTACCATGCGGGTTCATTGGCATTAATTAGACAGTTTCGTTACCACCACAGTATCGGTCAATCAAGTCGAGAGAAACATTGCACAGAAATTGGTCACGACGATCAATTGATATTTCGTCGGTCTGGTGATCTATCGCGGCCCTGTAGTAAAAAGATCGTACGAAGAAATAAAATCGGTTGACGAAGTTCTTCGTAACACGGGACGTTTTTAGAAAATCGGTTGCTTCGAAGAGAATAGGACCGAGGTAAAAAAAAAAAAAAAACTCGAAACTATGAAACTATCGAAGTGTGGAAACAATCGAAGCGAGAATGAATTTGAGAAAACCGAGTGCTCCGTTTCCTCTTCTGAAAGTAAGAAATCCATCGCGTCATATTATTTCAACTGAAATCTGATCTTCAAAAAAGAAACAAAAGTTTAATAAAGAGAGTCTTGTTACATTATAATAATACAATTAAAATGATATCGTTGGTAGAAACTTTAGTAAAAAACAGTTTGTGCAACATAGTATATAAATTATCAACGCCAATAATTGATATTGTTAACGAATCGAACGAAACATTGGGAATAAGCTTCAGAAATTACAATCAATTACAACGTCCGATTATTTTACCCGACTATTTATTTATTATAGAACTATGTATTAGCAAATTATTGACTAAATAATCCAATCAAGTTCCGCAAATAAATTTTTCATGAATCAATTGCAAATGAACACTGTTTATTAATCTGCATTAGTAACAGTTCCCACAGAGTGCAGAGAGGTCACAAGCATGATGAAAAACAAAGCTTCATAGATTCTATAAATAATCGTACGGATATGTGTTCATTCTTTTCATTTCTATTCTGTGTACGGAAGTTCGTCTAGGATGCTATTGAATTGTGAAAACTGTTTCGAAACGAGTGAGATAATTATGTGACTTGCAGCCGCAGAAATCAGCGATATCCGTGCGGTGTACCAGCGATAAGGCATCAGACGTACAAGCTGTCAAGATTATAACGCGACTCCACTTTCAATTCGATACTGCACGCGCTGTGACAGATTTTAAAAATAATATAATTTTCCAGTGTAGTGTTTCACTTGAGAAAAATAGCATACAAATTAATTTATCGGAAATAACCGAATAAATTTTGCGAACGTCGTGAGGATTACATATCAAGCAGTCATTTATGCATACACGACTGTGACAAACTAGAGGTCTAAAGTTTCAACTTAATTATTACACATTTTTGTTCACAAAATTATATAGTTTAAATTATCGATAGTTGTCCATCGTTACTGGTTGAATTATGCTCTTCACAGTATCTGACTTTCTTCGAAAACGTTGAAACAATAAAATTGCAATATCGTATCGTTTTAAAATTATTTAATTATTTAAAATATAATTATTATAATATAATATATATTATATAATTATATATTAATATAATATATTATATATTATATATTAATATATATTAATTATATATTAATATAATATAATGTATATTATATATTAATATAATATATTATTAAAATTATTTAAAATTTGAAAGTTTCTATTAACATATAGCACGTATATCATACAAGCTTCATACTCGCCGAACGGACAGCACTGATTATCTTCAAAAATTAAGTTAAATTGATTAAATTAAAGTATCTCGTACTTCATTTTTGATCTCACGAATTTTCATATAGACAAACTAGTAAATTAGTTTAAAAGTAGGGTTATGTGCTTTGTTAAATAAATTATAACGCCATCTAAAACAATTTGTCAATCTACAGTTGACCACTTCCGGCAAAGTACTGCCACGCCTGTCTTATTCGACGTGCCAATTGTCTATCTGCGGCATGTGGTTAGTTATCTCGAGAAGACGCGTGCAAAATGCAATTTTAGACTGAGATAAATATCAGTATCTCATATCAAAATATCAAATTATTGACTTGGTATCCTCTGGAATCTAAAATATTATTCAGTCATTAGATCAAATAATAATATTCTATGAGAAAGATATGTAAATACATATATAAAGCATTTAAAAATTTTTTGCAAGCATTTTTTGAAATTTTTGAATATTATTATATATGTAAATACATATATAAAGTATTTAAAAAAATTTTGCAAGCATTTTTTGGAATATTTGAATATTATTAGTATTAAATTTTATTCAAATTCTAAAACTGTGTTTTATCATTGAACTCGAATTTATTTTCCACAATTTTTATTTTCATTTTATTCACTGTATTCTGAATGATTCTACGTAATAGTAGCACGTTATAGCTATTGAATTAAATGTCAGACAGAAGATTCAGTAAATATATTAACTTAAACGCTGTTTGCTTTAGCATTTCAATTAGCTCACAGAGAAATTAGTTTTATCCCTTTAATATTTCTAATACATCCCTTTATCCCTTTAATATTTCTAATTAAATTTAATATTTCTTTTAATATCACTTTAATATTTCTCAGTGGTTTTAAAATTTTCCGATTACGATTTTAAACAATCGAAGGGAAAAGGAAATTTTGAAATAAATGTGCAAGATAAGTATCATTCACGTTGATGCTGCATTCTAACAAATTTTCATGCGAAAGTTATATATATATATATATATATATATATCATGTCTAGAATATTATTTTCTTGCCGCGTAATTAAAATTTAGTTATTATCACGAATAAAACAACAAATCTCGTTGGATCTACAATTTTTTTTAAAATTATCACAAAACGAGATCAAAGTATATCTTCAATTATCTCTCTTTTATTCTCCGAATACTTTCTACTTAATATCTTCGATTTTCTAAAATAATTACAAGACGAAGTTACACCTATCGATATCTCTCGATAAAAATGCAAATCTACCTGCGATTTTCCAAAGAGGTTGCAAAACCAAATCAAAGTATATATCTTCGAAGGTATAAATTTCAAATGTTACAACGTTACCAATTTTCTCCATACTTTCTAACTAAAATAATTACGAAACGGAATCACAATTATGCATCACATTTTAGAATACTCACATCCAAGTATTCTCAATTTTTCCAAAGAATTGCAAACTGCATCTTCAGAAGGTCAATTACATTTTCTTTGCATTCCTTTCCAGGATATCCGCTTGCCACGTAAAGCACGGAGAAACGCCATCATCAAGTGAAACGTCCAAGAAGGAAAATAGACAGCTAAACTGGGCTTCGAGGATAGCCGTGAATTTTATAAAAAAAAAAAAAAAAAA